CCAGCCAGGGCACATGTCTGTCTCTCTCTTTTCCTTCTCCTGTGTCTAAAAATAAATAAAGTCTTTTAAAAAAAGAGTCATTTTCTGTAAAATGTATGCCTTTTGTGGAAATCTTTAGAAAATGTAACTTTTCTGTTTTGTGTTGGGGCGCGGGTGATACAAATATAACACATAATCAAACCCATCATTCTTCTACACCAATATTTACTTTTCATGCCAATCCCTACTTTTGCTTTGATGGAATGACACAAAAACTATGTAAAAAGATTAACAGTAGCAAACGAAGTCACGGTGGAAGGAGGTTTCTTCAGAACCCACTGCCTTTTCCTTGGATGCCACCCTCAGGAAAACTCGACTCAACAGGTGCACTTTGCCATGAAGGACTTGGGTGGGCACATTCCCCAACTGCTGCTTCGTGACACAGCCCCTTTGTGTTCCCAACGGCAAACACAGAGTCGTAAACTGAGACTCCCCGACCAGGCCTCCTGTTCCTCACACAGAATTATAAGGCCTCAGGATTCGGGAAAACACAAAACCTCACAGCATTCTTACAACAGGGCAGAACTCCCTGAATCTGCCCTAATTGAATCAGATGTGTGTTAAAGAGGGATGACAGCCATTATGGTTAGGTCAAAAAAATGGGGCCCAAATTCATCTGAGAAAAAGAAATCATGCCAGTAAGTTTCCAGATGAGCCCCGGGAAGAGCCCGCGCCCAGCCTCAGGGAGACACAGAGGAGCCTTCCCAGCTGCTTTTCTAAAGAAGCCTGGGCAGCTTGGAGTCTTCCTCCGTGTTGGCCAACAGGCGTCTGGAACAGGGCCCTGTACCAGATGAAGTATCTTGATGCTGCCAACTGCTTCTTGGCTTTGAGCAGCTGTGGGAGCAGCTGGTTTTACAACACACAGAGTGAGTCCTTGTTCTGAGCGAGGAGAGTTCTATGTTTTACGAAAAACTGAGAGGTTTGGGTCCTTATGTACAACTAACTACCCTCAGGAGCTTTAACCCGAAGATTTGGTGTGTTGTGCTTGCTATTCCTGCGTCTTGCAAATAACCAAACAATCTAGCACAGTTTTATCCATGGGAAATTGTCCTGCAAGTAAATGTCAAGTTTATCCAATTCTTTGCTTTCAATCAGAAACTTTGGAGTCATGAGATAAGAATTATCCCTGGACCAGTATAATTAAAAATCACCTGAATTCCAGGAATCATAGATTGAATATAAAAATTTACTCCTGCTCTCTCCTGATATCCCAATAGAGGGATTTTTTATGGTACAAAACCACCAGGATAGTAAGAGCATGAGACAATAATAACAAAATTTCAAAAGCTGGAAAGGAGCAGAGCTGAGTCTTAAATTGGCCGTGGAGAAAGCCAAGACTAATCCAGTTTATACCACGGAGTTCCCAAAAGGCCCTGGTGGCATTACTGGAAGTAGGTAACAATGGAAGGGCTAACATAAAGAGGATCTGTTGAGCTTCTTTTAAGAAACAGCTACATTCCCCAGACCAGGCACCTACTCCATAAAGCTGAGTGACTGCACCTCTCCTATGCTGGCCAAAGATTCGTATCTCACGATGCATTCTCTGGAAAGTATACAATAAAAGTCTCTGAGTGAGGGACTCAGCACAGCTTATGGGGGAGTTTTAGTGAAAACCAGGACTGGATGAACACTGCATGCTGAGAGGGCCACCCCGACCCTTTTCTCCCACCTATTTCTCAGAAAGAGGGCAGCGATGCTCAGACCCTGCAGGCGGGTGGCTGGAAGATCCCTGGGTGGGTGAGCAGCCAGAGAGAAATGGACATTGGTGGTTCCCCGAGAGCTATTAATAGCACCTCAGGTGAAACCATTGCCAACAAGCTTCACCAGTGTGTACCAGGCTCAAATTAACTCTGTCCGCCCTCCCCATTCTTGAATAGAGTGGACAGAGAAGGACCACCTGATATCTGAGGAAAGATTCCAAAATGAGGGTCCAAAACAAACAAAAATATCAATTTGTACTGCTGGAATACAATCAGCAGAATTCAAATTGTTGAAAACTCTGTATGACAAACGGCCCAGTTTCCTCAACAATAAACTGCATGGAAAAAAAGGAGAGGAGAGAAATGGGGGAACCTATAGATTAAGAAACTTAAAACACATATCAACCAATTGCATTATGTGGACCTATCTGAGTACTGATTCGAACAATCCAATTGTTTTCTTAAAATGAGATAATCAGAGCAATTTAAATATTGGTTGGATACTTCATGATATTAAGAAACTTGTTAATTTTTTAGGTATGACATTCAGTTGTTTTAACTGAAATGTTTTTGGAGGGAAGTACATAACAGCTGGGAGTTGCTTCAAGACAGCCTGGGTGAGGAGAGTGACTGAACAAGCATGTTCCGTGAAGGAAATATGAGAATCTTTTACAGTATTATCTTTACTGTATGTTTGAAATTTTCTGTAACAAAGAAAACTGTTATTAGAAGGCAATGAAATCATAAAACAGAAACAAAAAATGTTAAAAATTGAAAGAATTTTTTAAAAATCTGTAAATAAACAAGGACAGAAATAAAACATTCAGTAAATATTTAAGGAAAGCATTGAGGACATATCCCAGAAGATACAGTGAAAAATGACAGAAATGAAAACAAAGAAAAGAATAAAAAATTAGAGAACTTGCCCAAAATCTCAGTAACAGTTTCAGAAAGAGTGAAAAGAGAAAGAAGAAGGAATTAATCGACTCAATAATGTAAGAGAATGTCCCAAACTGGAGAGCACGAATTTCTAAAAGGAAAGAATGCATGAACTGTCTGATTCCATGAAACAAGTTCCCATCAAGACACGTAGTGAAATGCAGAACATTGGGGGCAACAAGGTTTGACACGTTTCCAGGAAAAAAACAACAATAAAACAAAATAGGACACAAAAACAAAAACCCTGGCTATATCTGAAAATCAGGAATCAGAAGCATACGGGATGGACTTCACAACAGAAAAACCTAGAAAGCAATGAAGCAATACTTTCAAAATTCTGAAGGAAAATTAGTGCCAATCTAGAGTTTCTATATCCAACCAAACTACCGATCAAAGGAAAAAGGTAGAATAAAAACATTTTCCAGGCATGAAGCCCTCAAAAATTTTATTTCCATTTATCCTTGCTCAACAACAAAAGCAAGGAAATAAATACCGAAAGAGGACGGATGGAGCACCGGGAGCCGGGGGTCTAGCAGAGAAGAGAGGTGAAGGGAATGCCCAGAATAGTGCCAAACAGAGATTTCAAAATAACAGTTACTCTGCCTTGGTTCTCTTGTCTGTGAATCAGGGAACGGACAACAGTACCTACCTCACAGACCTGAAAGGGTTCAGCATAAAACGGAGTAGTGCCTGGCACAAAGTAAGAGCTACAAGAGTTGACTCTACCCTGTGTTAACACATAACTACTTGACATATTACAATAACTAAAAAAAGAGAAATCAATGTAAAACACACTTCCAAACTGAACATATTTCTAGCTTTGGAATGACTAAAAATAGTCATAGAACCATAGGGTTCTGCAGGTTGGCAGGGTTCTGAATTTTTCCTTGTTTTAAAGAGCAGGAAATTGAAGTTCAGAGTAGCTAACTTGCTCAAGGCTGCAGAGGCATTTAGAAGAGGAGCTGGGACCAGAAGTCGGGTGTTTCATGCCGGTGCCCTGAAAATCAGAGGTGCAGCTATCCCCATGGGTCCGAGTTTCAAACACAAAAAAATCACAATAGAAATATTTTGTCCAACTCAGCGATTTTTCCCTAAAACCTGGCATTTGGCTCAATACATACATAAAAGGAAAGGCCACATAGAAAGATCTACTCTGCAAGAAAGAGAGGAAGCTACGGTTGGGCTTACTACTGAGTTAGGTTAACCACAAGGAAGAAAATGCACTAATTCACTACACAGAGTTGTTTTAATTCTAGGACGGACGCCTCTAGTGGGTTCACACACAAAAGTGAGACAATGAATCCCTAGAGCTCTGGACCAGTAACAGGCAGCATAGGATGGGCTGCCTCCAATAAGATGGGCATTTCTGACCCCTGAGTAATGGGATGGGAAGCAATGCACTTCCATCAGAATGTTTGAAGTCTTTCTCAAAGAAAACACACGATTTTTAGAATTAGTAGCCTTTTTGGTCACTGCAACCAATGAAACATGATGCTCCCATCAAAATGATCTGACAATGAGGACTACTGAGCAAGGCCAATTAGAAGCCTGAGCATAGCCCGGGGAGAAAAGGCGACTCCTGGGAGAAGAGAATTTCTCCCATGCCTTATCAGGCAAAGCACCGCTCGTTGATACTCCTTTGAGGCTAGAGAGGGTAAGACTGAGGCTGGATGAGAATTTTCCTGGTAGAAATCCTAGGATCTGTCTTCAGCTTGTTCCAACTGAAAAAAACCCTCTGTATGTTGGCACAAAGTTCTACTCACCAGTTTGAGTGAACTTATTTTAAAAGAAAACTGCCCATTTTCTTTTCACTGAATCTCAGAGGAACAGTACATGCTAGTTTCTCATCTTTAAAACACTGGCAACATCTATGCTTCTTGAATATTTATTACAAACAAACTTGTAATAGCGTCTGGATACAGCACATGTCTCGCAGCAATCCAAATACCAGAGTGGCGACTGGTTGGATTAAATAGCCATTAATATTTCTACCATTTAGCTGAGGTTTAATAAAGTGACAGGTAAAGAGTTCGAACATACAAAAATGCTATTTTTAAATCTTTCAATCCTTTTTTATAAATGCCAGTTCCACGTTTTTTATTAAGGTTTTCTCCTTTCGCTTTCCTATAAACATTGCCTGCATCTTGGAAAATCACTTATACAGTATAAAAGTATGTACTGGTAACTTAGCCAAGTTAGTAAAAAGATAAAAAGAAATAAAAGCTATTTAGAGATATTTCTAATTTCTTCTGTGTCTGAACAGAAATATACATACAGAAAATACAGTTTAAAATGGAAAAAGATTGCAATGTCAACACTCACAGAAAAAGTAGGATTCCGGTGTTTGCCAGGGCAAAGGCAAGTCCCAAAATCCCACTGCCCATAATGGCGTTGCTCAGGTTGAAAACAGACATGCCCAAGGAGGTCGTTCCTGGAATCTGAACAGAGACAGACATTACACTAAGCGAAACAGCCCCCGAGTCTGTTCGTCACACCAAAGCCTTTAAAGCACTACTAGGAACCAATGCAAATTAAACTCAAGAAACCGTTCCCTCGTGGTCTGGTTATTTTTTTAAGGGGTTTCCAGAGACAATGCATAGGACCTGAGGAATATCCTGGTGAATGTGGGTAGCTGCCTTTGGTACTATGCTGCACGAGTTAAACACATCCGTCCCAATTTATGTGGTTAAAAAATAAGCATACTTATTATTATGACACTTACATATTCATCGCATTTCTTTTTTTCCAAATGGCTGTTTGTGAGACTTCTTCTACTTTCACGATCAGAAATAAATTTGCTGTAAAGACATGTATAATACATTTAACTTCATGGTAATGATGTGAAGCTTAACAATACATGTAAGAGATTTATTACTTACCAAAACATATTACACAGGAAAAGTTACCAATTTAATTTCAAAACATTTTAATGCTAACAAATTAAAACACTATATGCAATGTGTGTTAACTTTTATGTAGATTTTTCTCTAACTATAAATTACATAATGCCAAAAAATACTATAAAGCTGTCAGGTAAAAGAATACTGGAGGCAGGATTCCTTCTGAGCTCACATTCCTGGAGTACAAAGTTATTAAAGAGGAATTCTGTCTCCCCTGCAAAAAACGAAACAACTCGTTCCCCATCAAATATTCATTCAGCGCCGGTTACATACACGTCACTAGACAAGGTGAGGAGGGAGATGTGAGGGTATGTAAGAGAAGATGCAGACGCTAAGCTGTAGGAGTTCTGAAGGGGACACTGTGGTGGGAGAAGGCTGGACATTGGTCCATGGTTAGGGGCAGAGCCAGGGCTTTAAGGAAAGCATGGGATTTCCAATGCGAGTTTGAATCCTTACTAGCTATGAGGGCCTGGCTATGCCACTTCAGTTTCCTCTGTGAAAGTAAAGTAACCTTACTATATTATTTCATGGTGCTATTGGGAGAATTAAATTTTCAGTACAGCTCCAGGCACAGAATAAGAGCAACAGACATCAATCATTCCTCCAGGGAAGTGGGGCTAGAGTTGGGATGCGTAAGATTCAGACGGGCTAAGTGGAGTAAACTATCTGCAAATATATAGAAGGAATTGAGAATGCTCTTAGAATCATATTCAGAATTAATATCAGAAAATTATGGCCTAAGTTTCTAATTTTTAAACTATTCACCATTAAAAACATAAGTCCATTTGTTGACAAATTTTGCATATATTAGGAAAACATATTAGGTTAGCTTTTTAGCTCTTCTGGAAATTTAATAAACTGGTCTTCATAAGAACTAATCACAGTAAGTTTTTCATTAATAAATGTAAATAAAGCCACTTGACCTATTCCAAAGAAACATACATGTTTAAACTGTGCATTATATTATCCTATACTTTTTTGAATAACGCTATGTTTCACAATAAACCATTTTCAATGAAAAATATACATCATTAATTTTGGCTTTATTTACCTATCTTTTTCATCTTTAATTCCAGGGGTCTGGCTTCTCCCTGGCCTTACTTCTCCAAGTTTGCATTATTTTACCAAGACAAACCAAAGACAGGCAATGTACATACGACATGCTTCCTCTGAGATCATCGCCTGGTAGAAGCAGCAGCAGCTGCAGTTTTAATCCCCTTCAGCATCTGCCTTTGCCCAGGACCTGCTCAGTCACTGAGAAAGACCAAGCAGGAGGTGAAGAAAACCTTGGTCCCCTGAAACAGGAGCGACCACGCCAGCTAACCCCAGAATAGGAATGTTGGGCTGTGCGAAATTGAGATGAGATTAGGAATCCAGAGAAGGAAGAATCGTTATTGGGAGGGATTAGCCAGAGGAAACGCACGGCCAGAGGCCTAAGAAATAGTGTTACAGGAGAATGGCAAGATGAAAGCAGTATCTTTGGAGACCAGTCTGGCACCTGTATAAGAGCGTTTGGCCCTTCTTTTGCCCTTAACATATTAAATCTTTCCACAGAATTGATCTCTCGGATCTGGCCAGAGAGAGGCATGGAAAAGCAGTCTTCCTTTTCACACAGGGAGCCCAAGAAAACATGAGTGCTGGACTTACCAAAATGGAATTGATTTCCAAAGTAAAACTGCCATTAAAGAAAAGAGTATATTTAAGCAGGCTCATTTTAATAATCAATTCATGTCTATCAAATCTTTATCCAAAAGGTCCCCGATTTGCCTTTCTTGTGGAGGGACTTCTTTTCCAAAGAGAATTTCCATTATTTTTATAAAAAGGGAAAAGCCTGAACATTTTCAAACAAACTGAACAAACAAACTGCATGTGGTAGATGGAAGTTCCCTGGCTTGGCCACACTCTCCAGAATTGGTGGTAGAGGACTGCTGGGCAGAAAAGAAAGAGATACGGGCATTGCAACACAAGAGATATTCAGTAGAGTCAAACCCTGCACAATGAAAGAGGATGAAGAATAAGGGCCCTGTATCACCGCCAGCTCTCTCCTGCAGAACTTCTGCAGGGTGAGGATGATGAAACTGACCTACAGAGCTGCTGGAAAGAGTAACCATTGAAACTCATTGCCAGTCAAGTGCCTCTCAGATTCTGCCTCTTCCTGTGTACTTTCTGCAACAAGACTTAATAGGTTTTCCCAAAAATCTTCACTGGCTCCCCCACTGGAAAAGTTTCAAGTATAAAAATTCTTCAGTGCCAGACACCACTGAATTTGATTTTGCTTCAGTGTCCCAGGCTCAGCTCTCTGCTCCTCAGAATGATCTTCCCAAGAGTGGGTGAGGACTGAGACAAGATCATGGCATTCTGAGAGTCCACGGCGGCACTGGAAATCCACTCTCCACCCACAGCAGATCCTCTCTCCCCTCTCAGCCAGTGCCTTCCTGCCCGTTCAACCTTCTTCCCTGAGTCTTCTGGTACTCTGGTCTGAACTGAGTTTCCTGACTCTATGTGCTACTGACCTGATGTGACATCCACAGGGGATGCGTAGTGTTCTCAGTCCTTTGGCTCCTTCTTAAATACACCTGACCATGCATTAGCAACTCAGAGGAACCCTTCATAAAACAGATATACATCTTCTATCTGGGAATTAGGGAGTGGCTTAAGCTGTAGGGAAATTGAGTCCAGTAGGAATGAAGAACTTAGAGAAATCCTCTTTACTCTCTTTATATTTCAATTTTTCCTTCTCTTTAGTCTTTAAATCTTCGCATTACAGTTCTGTAAGCTTTTTTTTTTTTTAAACAAAATAAAACTAACCTTTTCAGTCATGGAAAAGTCCATTCAAAATAACTAGGTCAAGCAGCTTATCACAAGTTTCTGTTATCTTACCATTTCAAAAATGCAATTTTCTGTTAAAAAGCACTGGCCTCTGGCAAAGAGGTTGAGTTAAAATTTCTCTTTATTCAATTAAAAATGGGCTGTGGGAGAAGGTGCCTTTGACATGTGGTCTCAGGATGATAAAGGTATTATTTAAAAAGAGTTTTCACTGGGTCAGTCTGTACCCAGAAAAGAGGATTCAGTCAACTGTTAGGTTGCTAGTTGTTCTGAGAACAAAACCAAACAAAATAGGAGAGTGGCTGCTATGGTGACCTCCAATAGACAAAGGCTTAACCAGGAGTAGGCGTCATATGGAGGTAGTATGACAAAAGGCTGAGCAATACACAGCAGTTATTTAAAACCAGAAATAAATCAACACCAACAATAACTGAACAAGATGGACTGTACAATAGAAAGATAATCTTCCTCCTTTAATCTCTACTAATCAGATTCTTACTAGATTATAGTATTTCATTGGAAGATTCGTAACACAAAAGATAAATGGTTGGACTTAGACGACCTTTCCTAGTTTGTTCCCTGAAATTCTAGCATTCTACAAAAAAAGGAAAAGGGAATAGGAGGAAAGAGACTGGAGAAGAAGAAAAATTTAAAAATAGTAGGCACTTAAAGAGAAGGCTGAGAGGTAAGCAAAGTCTTACTTGGGGAATAAACTCTACTGAAAATAGGAGAAATCCAAACTTTAATTATAACAGGAGCTATGAAAGCAAAGAAAGAATTTTCTGATATAAAAACTGAATGTAGGAAGAAGTGACTGAATCTTGTTAAGGGGTAAAAAAGGTTATTAGAAGAGAAGGGATAACTTTTCAAGGATCCTCCCAAGTGACACAAATTTAGTACATAAACTCTGTAGGATATACAGGGACCAAAAAAAAAGGGGGGCGCTGATGCAGGATGTAGTGACAAGAGTTGGCCCAAATTTTTTTCAGAAAAATGTTAACTAGTGACTCTTAAACTTTGTTAGATGCCCCCTGAGTCATGACAACAATAACTATGCATAGAGATGAGAACAGTAAATAAATATTAAGATATGTGAGTGCTGGCTTAGATACAGCTAGGAGAATGTACTAATATTCTGGTAGCTTTAGTAACGACAGCCAGCAATCATCCAAAACCTAAAGCAACGTTGTTATTCCTTGGGGTAGACAAGAAAGAAGCGCTAGCCTAAGAAAGAGGATGCACTTTTATTGATAAAGACTCAGCTCCTACTAAAAGGCTTATTATTGCCAGGCACTGTGCCAGTACTTTACACGATCTTCTCATCTATTTTTACAGTTGTGTGTGGTTGGTAATATTATTAGCTCCATTTTATAGAAATTAAGTAACTTGACCAAAGAAACATTACTAATAACTAAGCCACTGAGCCAGGATTTTAACCTGAGCTGGCTGATTACAGAGCCTACGAACCTGAGTACATTTAATACTCCCCAGCACTGCCCTGAAATAAGGCATTATACTACCCCTGTCTCATAGGCATGGAGCTGAAGGTCAAAGCACAAAGTCACACAAGACCTACTGGTAAAGCCAGGATTCAATACAAGTCTAAATTCAAACCACTTAAATGCTCTCTTTCTCTCTCTCTTCTTTGTCTGTCTCTATTTTTCTCTTTCATTTAACAAATATTTTTGTAATGCCCATTCTGTACCAGGCGCTATTATCTACCATTTCAAGGTACAAGAGATATAAAAATGGCTAAGATAACTCCTCCTCTCCAGGAGCTCACATCTAGAGGAAGAGTCTAGAGCTTGCTACTCAGAGTGTGATTTATGGACCAGCAGTCTGGGCATTACCTGGAAGCTTGGTAGAAATTATAACCCCAGGCTCCGCGCCAGACCTACTGCCTCAGCATCTGCGCTTTAACCTGGTTTCCAAATGTTTCACGTGCACATTAAAATGGTAGCAGTACTGGTCTAGTGGACATTTGGAAAGGTTTGCTGTTCCAGGTATAGATTTCTATGACTATAACCCCAAAATTAGGACATAAAATAAAACTGAACTGGAATAAGGGCAGGTGTCCTAATGCCCAAATGGCTCTACTCTATTTTTACCTAAACTTAAAAAAATGATTCTTATTGTATCCTAACGGGGAGTTTCTAGGCAAAGCTATTAGCTAGATGGCAAGGTAATCAGAGATCACCATTTGTTAGCTTCCTAAAAAAAGGAACTGTTAATGGAAGTTCACTGTTTGGGGGGATGGCTCTCTTAGATGCACATAATTGGGCCTTCCTCCCATCAATGTGAAAAAGCTGCAAGAAGAATGAGAGGTATTTATGTGTAGCTTCTGTAGCAATCGTGGTGGGTTTTTTCCTGATTTTTAGTTACCTTTTTGGCTTCAGGCCATAATATGTTGCTTTTAATTTTACTTGTCCTAGAGCCAAAAATAAAGTGAAGTTCATTAACTGTGTCAGTGAAAAAGGGAAGGTAAGATAAAAGAAGCAATAAATGCATCACACTTTATTTCCAAGTATGGAACCAAATTCTGCAAAACAAATGGTCAACACCCAACAGCAAAGCTGCTGTACCAGCTCACTGCCTTACTCACAGTCGAGAGGGAAGTGAGCTCACTGGGCAAGGTGCCCAAGGGCCCCGAGTCGGGGGTGAGAAGGGCTGCTTCCACCCTCTGCAACTGGTAGCCACTTCAAAAACTTAATACTTTTAGTAAGAAAAATTTTTAAAGATCAACTTCAGATTCCAAACTGAGTATTATAAATGACTTAGACTTTAAGGTTTGCATTGCTTTGGGAATGAAGTTCCATTATAACACTGAAGTGGCCTACTTGTGAAATGGTTGGAATCCTGTGCACGGTTAGGTGGTCAGCGGTGACTAGAACGCTCCAGGAGTGTGGAGCGTAAATTAGTAGTGGTAGAGTTAATAGGACCAGTAAAGACTGTCTTTTCCACTAATGCCTGAGCATTATAATCAAAGGCAGCAGGATAGAGCTGAAAGACAAGGATTTCAGACAGACCTTTGTATGCCCTTGAGCAAGTTATTTTATTCCTCTGAGGTTCAGTTTCCTTATTCGCAAACCAAAATTTAAAATTTTCCTCATTTGCAAAAGAATACTTTGCATGATGTTAGAAGGGTAAATGGCAATATATGTAAACACAGCTGCCAGTTAAGAAATGTTGTTATTGTTAGGAATTTCTCAGAAGAGGTAAAAGAAGTAAACTTGAGTCCAACAATAACAAATATCGCAACAGAGTAAATGCTACTTGAATTATAATGAGGAAGTGTATGGTTGGAGACGTAAACGCTAAGAACATTTAAGGAAGAGAAAAAAAAGGAAAGGCAGGGCTGAACTTTTTGAGTACACGTAAGTGATGGCAGCTAAGTCTTATGCTGGCCTTTCATTCATTTATGTATACGCTTTATCACAATATAGAAAAGACTATGAGAAAGTTTTTCTATGAAGATGCCTGGTTAAGGTTATAAAAATGTTGTCATCTTCCTCTACACCAATTTTCTTTTGACAACCCATCTCCCAAAAAAGTGTGGCATCACTGCTTTTCTAATAAGTAGTCCTGTATATTCCTCTCTCTGCTCCTACAAAGGAGGCTTTGTGCTTCAAATAAGCCTCACTGCTAATTCCCAAGCTGGAGACCTTCCTGTTCAGGGATCCACACAGGCTGGCTGTCAAATCAGTAGGTCGGAGAATGCTCCCCATCAATACAAATAGTAAGTAAAGACATCTGACTCTACTCTTGTAACACAAGAGACACAGAACCCAGAAGAGCTGGAAAGACACGCTGAGGCCAAGAGCTTCCAGCCCACCTGCCTCTCTGCTCCTCTCACTCACTGTATCTTTCCTTTTCCTTTGGTTTCAGGTACTATTTCTCTGCCATAGTTTCTCACAGAGCCATTTGGTCTCAACTATAGTTGTTATTAAAGTCCATGTTGTAAGTGATGCTGGTAATGATGTATTTGTTGCTTCAACAGGGGAACATTAACAAATGCAGCTTTGACCATTCGTTAGTTGAAACAGTTCAACTGACCACAGGGGTGAGGTCAGACGAGGGCAGCGCACATTCAGATATGGGATGCAGCAAAACCCCAGCAGTCTGTCTCATTCAAAAGCACAGCGATTTTGGAAAGTTAGGACTGGTTGGGGTCCAACGTATTTACACATTTTTATTAGACTCAATTGAAAGATTTGAAAGAATGAATACATTACTTCCCTGTTTGTTTCATCTGCTATTGCACACTATGCCCAACAGATGTCACATAGGAAATTCAAATTACGTCTCAAATGGAGCTAACTTCAGTAATGAATAATTCAAGAGAATAACTGAAAATCAGAATATTTTAGAAACATTTCTTTTAGTAGATAGAAAGTGTTAGTGGAGCCCTGGCTGGTGTAGCTCAATGGATTGAGCACAGGATGCGAACCAAAGGGTTGGCAGTTTGATTCCCAGTCAGGGCGCATGCCTGGGTTGCAGGCCAGGTACCCAGTAGGTGGCATGTGAGAGGCAACCTCACATTAATGTTTCTCTCCCTCTGTTTCTCCCTCCCTTCCCCTCTTTCTAAAAATAAATAAATAAAATCTTTTTTAAAAAGTAAGTGTTAGTAGAAAGATACTCACCTATTTATCTGACCATTTTCCACCTCCGTGAAATCGTTGGAGTCATTGCTGACGTTATCATCTTCGGGGACTGTCATGTTCTGCAACTCAGTTAACTCAAGTCCACTTTTGAAATGCATCATGTTTAAAAAGCCCCTGGAGTCAAAAAATTCTTCCAAATTTTCCTGTTCTGAGCGTATTTACAATGAACAGCAGCAAAAATATAAGCTTGACACCCCTAAAATACAACACAATGAAAAACAGTTAAGCATATGAATATAACTGCTGACTAAAAATAGTTAAAGTGAACAAATAGTTAATTTACTGATAATGCAACTTTTACATCTTCCTACTTGATACATTAAAAGCCATCTTTGTACATCAAGTTATAAAGGCTCTAAATTGTATGCCTTTCATTAATCTCCCTCCATTTTAAGGTATAAAGTGAGTCAAGTCCACCCTGACGGGTGTGGCTCAGTGGGCTGGACGTCCTCCCACAAAGTGAGAGGTCACTGGTTTGACTCTAGTCAGGGCACATGCCTGGGTTTCGAGTTCTGTCCTTGGTTGGGATGCAAGCGAGAGGCAGTTGATGGATGTTTCTTTCCCACATTGATGTTTCTCACCTTCTTTTTCTCCCTCCCTTCCCCTTTCTCTAAAATAAATAACTAAAATCTTTTTAAAAGATGAGTCATGTCCCATAATCTTTATGCTCATGTTTTGTAGGAATACCATGTTGGTGGCAGGCAATATAGACACCCTTTTATAAAACACTGAGTTTAAAATGAAAACAAGTGGATTACTTTAATGTGTTAGCTCACAGGACACACATATAGCTGGGTACAGACCGCAGAGCCACAAAAGGACCTTTGATTCAACCACGCCAGTCGAATGAAAATGGAAACGTGCCAGAAATGGCATCATGAAGGATCAACTACCGAACCCAGGGGCCAAGCAGCAAACAACAAATCTGTGTTTTGAAATTTAGCAAACAGTTTATCCATCAACTGAAAGAGATTAAATCAATCTCTTCAATGAAATCACTCTATGTCAGGGAATTAGGGAATTAAAAATTCATACTCAGGGGATTTGGGTTAATCCACCTAAAACTGTATTTCCTCATCAGAGACAAAGACTTGCAGAGTTCACATTTCCCCCAACGTAGACGACTGTGATTTCAATTTCTGAGGGGTCCCCAGTAGAACACAAGGAGGGGAACAAGTTTCAGACACAGCATCACACAGCAAAAAGCAGGAGGCATGAGTGGCAAATGCAAGTTCGGAAGTAAGGCCTCCATACACACAGCAGCCTCACGGGGAGAGTCTCAGTGAGGTGATGAGGACCATGGACTGAAGCAGAATGTCAATGAGATTTTTTATTCACCTCCAATGGTAATTGAATGACATTTTGACATTTTTTCTGATCCTGCATCCCATTAAGATGATTGTAATCTAGTTAAGAGTCAAAACGCTCACTTGATGTGCCCATTTGAACATCCTAGTATTTGTCAAGAAGCATTTTGCTAATCGATGATATTTTCAGGACCCACAGAAAGTGTCCTACAATGATACTTGTTCCAGAATTTTCTTCTCTCCCTCCCCACAGCCAGGCCACGTTATTCCTTTTTATCCACACAGTCTCCTATCTAAAATGAAACCTCACAGGTTCCAGGATCCTATACAGGTTCCACAACGTTAGTACTTTCTAATGCCTCAGGCTCCAGGAGCGTCACCCTTCCTTGCAGGGCAGAGCCACTCCTGTGAAGCAGGGAGCCAGGGAGATGTGAGCTCCGTGAAGTGCTGGTCAGAGGCCAACCTGGCAGCTCGAGGCTGGTTCTTCCGGCCAGGGTGGTAGTTCTGGAGATGGGCCATCTCTAATTGCTTTTAGTGCCTTCACACAGCAGCAGTGTTTACACCCTGTCTTTACTTTGCAAAAGCCAAAATGCATTAAAACAGCTGAACACCACCTTATCCCTTGGCCCCTTTGAGGAAAGCTGCACCAGCAGACTGCACGGGGTGATTTCCAAGGACCCTGACACCCTGGCTCTCCCCCGCATGGCTTCCTCGGAGGCCAGGGAAGTGATACCACAGGGCTGGGAGAAGGCTGACTCAGTGATGGCATTTCCCATCGGGATTAAGAAGTCCTCTTCCTCCCACAAACTGGTAGGAAATAGTGCGCTAAACCATGGCTTTCTCAAGAGAGGAAAGGTTGACTAATAACAGACTGGGAGTCTACTGTTTGAATTTAAACTTTCATATCAATGTATGTGTGAGTACATAGATAAACATATATACATAAAACTATATATTTAAAAAATGAACAAAAAGAGAAAAGAATAAAAAGAATACAGGAAGTCCTGGCCACTAAAATTGTTAGTATTAGGCAAATACCAATACTAAGTTAATCACATAGAATGTTTTTTTTTTCCTTTTGGCTTGAAGAAAAAACTCTTTTTCACAGTCCTGGAAGCTAGAAGTCCAAGATCAAGTCCAAGATCAAGTCCAAGCTTCCTTCTGAGGCACCTCTCTTTGGCTTGCAGAGAGATGCTGTCCTACTGTGTCCTCACATGGTCTTTCCTCTGTGCATGTGTCATGACTGACTGACTGACTTGACTGGTTTGTTTGTTTCTTTATTTATGATCCTCACCCGAGGACCTTTTTTTCCATTGCTTTTATAGAGAGAGGAAAGGAGAGAGAGGGAGAAAAACACTGATGTGAGAGAAACATCAACTTGGTTGCCTCCTGGCATGCACCCCCACCAGGAATCCAATCTGACTGGAAATCGAACCCATGACCTTTTGGTCCACGGAACAACACTCCAACCAACTACCCACACTGGTTAGCACCTCTTTTTTATTTTTTAGAATAAAATTTAATTGTTATGAAATCATCTATCTGAAACCTAACTTGTTCTTAAAAATGAAAGCTGGAAAATAGAAAAAGATGAACAAAGTGAGTGACACCTGTCACTAAGGTGGAGGCCACACTTAGAAAACAGTATCCATTCGATTTATATGTTTAGTGGGTGCTATGTGCTGAAGGGGTGTAAAAAGTTTGAAAAAGTCAAATTCAGGGATCTGAGGCAGCATCACAGGAAAGTCACGTTTGGACGGGCTCTTGAGAAAGAAAAAAAAATTCTGATTCTAAAACTAAAACCAACTCAACTATAGAATCTTTAGAACAAACATTGTAAAAGAAATTCCACCACCCCAAAACGGCCACTATTAGAGTTTCATGTCCTCTTTTCTTTCTTTCTCTCTCTCTCTCTCTCTCTTTCTTTCTTTCCTTTCTTTCTCTCTCTCTCTCTTTCCTTCCTTCCTTCCTTCCTTCCTTCCTTCCTTCCTTCCTTCCTTCCTTCTCCCTCCTTCCTTCCTTCCTTCTCTTTCTTTCTCTCTTTCTTCTTTCTTCTTCTTCCTTCCTTCCTTCCTTCCTTCCTTCCTTCCTTCCTTCCTCCCTTCCTCCCTCCCTTCCTCCCTTCCTTCCTTCTCTTTCTTCCTCTCTAGATTCCCTCCTCGCTTCTCTCTATTTTATTTATGAGTGGGATCTTAGACTGCTGCAAGCTACTTTTTTTTAGCATTACACTGTAAGGACTTTGAAAAAGTGCTTATTAAAAATATTATTAGTTTCTTATGAATCAAGACTATAAGTTTTGTAGAAAAATTATAAATCACAAGTAAATGAAGGAAGAAACAAGTAAAAAGAAGAAAAGTCACCTGTTATCTCAGCAAGCAAAGACGATTACTATGCATATATGTTGGAGTATGACCTTCCAGGGTTTTTGTATGCACATAGATATGGAGCTGGTACACAGTAGGCACTCAATAAGTATCTGTTAAATGCAAAGAATGAATACAAATTAAAACTATGTATACATTTCCAAAAATGGAAATCATAGCATAGAGCTTTTATTTTTTAACTATATTTTATTATTTATGCTATTACAGTTGTCCCAATTTTCCCCCTTTCACCCCCCTCCATGCAGCCCCTCAGACAATCCCCACACCACTGTGTCCATGGGTCATGCATATATGTTCTTTGGCTACTCCCTTCACCTTCTTTCATTAAGTCCTCCCCCCCTCCCTGACAGCTGTCAATCTGTTCTGTGCTTCTATGCCTCTGATTCTATTTTGCTCATTAGTTTATTTTGTTCATTAGATCTGTCCATGTATACATGAGATCATATGGTATTTGTCTTTCACTGACTGGCTTATTTCACTTAGCATAACAGTCTCCAGGTCCATCCATGCTGTTGCAAAAGGTAAGAGTTCTTAGCATTCCATTGTGTAAATGTACAACAGTTTTTTTAATCCACCTATCTACTGATGAGCACTTGGGTTGTCTCCAGATCTTAGCTACTGTACATAATGCTGCTATGAACATAGGGGGTACACGTATTCTTCTGAATTGATGTTTCAGGACTCTGAGGATGTATTCATACCAAACATTTTTCACTTAAAAAGATATGGTCACCTATACTGAGTTATGTCAGTATACACAGGTCTATACCGTTACTTCTAATGATTGCTGAACTGTTTGACTGTGCCATAAATTGACATTCAACCTATTACTACTGGTAATAGTAGTCACACTGCTTGGGAACATGAGATTGACAGGCAGAGAGGAGTCCTGAGCTGAGACTTCTTAGTGCGGAGAAAACATAATCAACAGCACAGAAGCAGGAGGTGCATGTCAAGTTCAAGAAACAGAATTATACTGAAGACTGAAGCAATTACCAGACTATACAATTAATTAAAATGCCAAAGAGGGTCATCATGTGAAGATCTTGATGTTAACACAACCATAATTACTATCTCTCAATGTTTATATTAGGTTACAAATGATACTTTACTCATCACAGAATATTTCCGATCCTTTACTGCATTATTATGTTGGTATGCTTATTGGTATATTTTATTAATAGTACCACTGTAAAATACACAAACTTACTCTCTGCTCTTCATGGTGTTAGATAGCACAGGAAAGGATATGCAGATGAACCTGTGTAGACTTCCATTGCTTACAGTCTATTTAAACAAGCAAGACCATCCCATATTAAGTGACAACACACCATAAACCATTTGCATGACAGAACCAAACTATGTGGCAGGACAAGGAATAAGTACAGAAAGGTTTCAGAGACAGACAGACATATATATGTACATACAGGAAAGAAAGGAGGAAGGAGGGAAAGGAGAACGGGAGGCTGGATAGGAAGGAAAATAAATGGGACCTTGAGAGCTCAGGCAAGATTTTACAAAGTGTTAGAATAGGCCCTGCGCAATGCCTAAAAACAGGTAGAATGTAGACTGGGGGATACGGAAGGCACTGCTTGTACTGAGAAAAGTGTAGGCAAAGACGATGAGGCCAAAAGTACACAGAACAGCCCTATACGAGCCTAGCTAGAGTGAAGGGAACAAGGTGTATAAGTTTGGTAACAGAGCTGACTTAAAGACTGTAGAGGGAAAAGCAAACCAAAAAAATGTATTGTAACTTAAACAATGTCCGAAATTACTTTTGGGGATAAATAAGCAAAAATACAATTTCAATTGCCAACACACATTTGTGGTGGATTGGCTTACTCCATATTTGTTCCCACTTCTTTGTAGTACAGTTCTACAGAGGATGGAAAATGGAAATATACATTCCCCAGATTCCTTTACATCTTGGGTTCTAAATACGATTTAGATTCCACCAATCAAAGAGCAAGGTGCTGGGGGCAAGGCACCCATTAGGCTGGTGCAGTTCGAGCAGGTGAAGCAGACAGCAGTGGAGCCAACGGCTGTGTCTACGGATTCCTGAGAATCAGATTTGGCTCCAGTGATGTATTCCTGGAACCTGTAGTTGAGACAATGAGAAGCCAGCTTCCTGATGGAGGCACAGCAGCAGGTTCCTTAGTGGGCCAGTTGAATGGTAGTATTCTGCTAATTATTCCTAGAGGCCCAGCCTAAACCAGCTCTGTCATCACTTCTAACAACTTTATAGACACTTCATTCCTTGTATTTAATACCTTTTGTTTAACATACATAGAAAGATTTCTGTTATACTAAACCCTAATATTCTTAGTTTTATTTTTTCCTCCCTTTAAATTTTTTTATTATGCGAACTTTTAAACATATATAAGTGTGAACAGAATAGAATACTGAACACCCAATGTAACAAATCCAACAATTAACAATTCAAGCCAATCCTTTTTTTTTAAAGATTTAATTAATTTATTTTTTGGGAGAGGGGAAGGGAGGAAGAAAGACAGGGAGAGAAACATCATCTTGGTTGCCCCTCGCACGCCCCCTACTGGGGGCCTGGTCTACAACCCGGGCATGTGCCGGGACTGGAAATTGAACCAATGACTCTTTGGTGCACAGTCTGGCACTCAATCCACTGAACCACACCAGCCAGGGCCAAGCCAGTGTTGTTGAAGTTTTACCCCCACCAACACACAGAACTATGTTAAAGCAGATCCCAGTATCCTATCATTTGCACATAGTTCAGCACATATCCCTAAAAGAAATCTTTTTTCAAACAATAGCACCATATCACTGTCAAACCTAAAAAAGAACAAGAATTCCTTAATATCACTAAATATCCAGTCACATTCACTTACTTTTTAAATTTTTATGAATCACTACTTTTTTGTTGGTGGTGTTTTTAATTCTGAAGAACTAATAAAATCACACTTCTACTAGCTCAGCTCCTGAGATCAATCACGGTAGCCAGGTCAGCGGTTCTGAGAAAGTATTAGGCCTAAGGCTAATGATGGTCCTGTTCTTCCTGCCATCTTTTCCAATAACTGCATAAGCCTGTTTACCCCTTGGGGTCTTTGAGTCCCTGGCTCTTAGACAGTAATATGAATCTATGACTTGTTTTTTCATATTTTGAAAGACCTCAGACAGGCCAAACAAGCTAACTAAAATGTCAGGTACCCTTGCTTTCAGTTAGACGGCATTAATTCGATGGGATAACCCTAGATTCTGACTGGCAATTTCATATATCTTTCAGTAATAAAAACAGAAAATGAGTTCACAAATTAAAATTGTAGTCAAAACTCATTAAACAGTATAGTTGAGATCTGAATGTTGCACCGCATGTAAGTTATACTTCAATTAAAATAAAAGCTTAAAATTGATGGTTAAAAATCTTTGAAAACCTGAGTCCTTGGGAGATGGGGAATAATAAAAGTGGCCTTTGGTAGAGAACAGGCTGGGAGCCAGTCAGCAATCTCAGAAGGACAGGTGTCTTCACTGTCTTTCCTCAAGCCAGGCTAGTGATCTCAGCCCTGCCAGGACCCTGTATTTGCCACACTTCCTCCCTGTGGCATCCCTGACTCCTGTCAGCCGCTCTCAGTCCTGTATCTGGAAAGCAATCCTGTCTAGAACCAGGAACTACCACCTGCCGCCCCTCTCTTTAACTGCCAACAGTCTGAACATCTTGCTCCTCTCTTCCTCACTCCCCGGAAACCATGCTAATTCTGCCTCCACCATTTATGACCTGTGTGACCCTGGGCAAGTAGGTTAACTCCTCTTCGCCTCAGAAGTTTCCTCTTCTGTAAAATGAGATAAAGTGATACCCATCTCCTACAGTCATTATAATGATTTCACGGTTGGGTCCATATGCAGCACTTACGGGAATATCTGGCTTGGTTCTTCTTGTAAGCAATGGTGACTATGAGTGCTACTGTTGCTACTACTTCCCAATCAAGACAAGGGGACTGTTCATCGCTCTCCACCAACTTGCTCCTCCCTGCACCCTCCTAAGCACTGCTTCTTGGCGTCCTTTCCCAGGTCCCTTCCTCCTTCCTACCTTAGGGCAGGGATGCTTCTGCCCTCCACCCTTCACTCCAGACACTCCAAATTCTTTCCATTTTACAGTTTCAAGCATGTAGTGTCATGTTCATCTCCCAGGGCATCTTTCAGATTTTTCTCCCAGGTATTTTCATTTCATAAAACTAGAATTCCTTTGTGTTATGAAACAGGATCTCCCTCCTAAACACTACTTGATAATAATCCCACCAATTAACATGCCACATGTTTTTTCACCTGCATAATGAGAAGGCTGGAGGGAGATGATCTCTCAGGTTCCTTCCTGCTCAGAAAAATTTCCAAACATTCTTTCTAGACTAGGGCTGCCCTCTGGACTTCTCCGCGTGGATGTCCGCAATGACCTCAAATTCCACATGGGTAACTGGGCACATCGCCTGACCTCACGCATCAGCTTTTCTATTTCAGTTAAAGATAATGTTCATTCTCATCACTTAGACTTGGAGTCCAGCTGGATATCACTACAATGCTACCTCATATCTAATCAGCCACAAGTCCTGTCAACATTCTTTCATGGTGTCCCTTCCATTCCTCTCCTTCCTTTCAGCTCCCCCATCCTGACTTTGCCCACCGCTTTCCTCCACGCTACCTGCTGATCCCTCCCCTCTCATTCACAGGCCCAGATTCTTCCTGAAATATGTCTCGCACATTCCTCTTCCCTCTCTGCTCATCATAATTGCTGCTAATGTGTACAGGATAAAGTCTAATCTCCGGAACCTCAAATTCAAAGACCAGATTGCTCATAATTACCTCTTTAATTTCTCTCTCCTATGACTTTCTGAACCTTCCATTCTGCAATGGATCTACTCCTATGCAATTTTCTGCTTTGTTCACATCTTTCCCTTGGCCCTGAACCTAATTCCCCCATGACTTTCCATCAAGCCCATGCCTACATTTCTTTTAAAGCCCAGCTTTCTTGCTTGCATGCTTTTTTATTTTTCATTGTATGCTTTTGTAATTTTCCAATTTCAAACGAAACTTCTCTGTGATGTCTTTCTCCAATGACCAATCCGTG